GACATCGCTACGAACGTTTACACATTCGCTCTCGGCTATGCTATGAGGGATTTGTAGGAACACGTGGGAGGAAATTTTTTGGGTTTCGAACTTCTGCTTTAATAAGTGCGGTCCTTTATGGAGTTGTCCGCATTTGTTTTCTTTGATATTTTACATGTAAATAATACTATTTGCTATGTTACTGCAGTAAATGGCTCTGTTTTGAGATGATGTTGAGGGCAACTAATAAAAGCGTACTAGATCGATTAATAAAGATTATGCTATGTGGAATGTTTGACAAAACTCCCATTAACGATGAATCCTACATGTGTATGGGAGGTGGCCGGCCAATCGGAAGTGTGCTCTAATTGCCAGTGGTTGCCATGCCGATACTACGGTAGCTGGATTGAAGCGGGCGGGAGCTTGGACGTGGGAGCACTCAACGCCATCAGCTACCTCATACACCTCCAGAAAGCTATGTACCCATCCCTAAGTAAGTTTTCCCCAGTTATATCAAAGTGTCAATGAATTTACTATCAATCCAATACAGATTCGCCAACATGATGTAGTGTTGACGCCTACGGAAATCCGGACACCAGTCAGCGTCTTTTTTTTGGCCATTGCCCCGAGTTCCACAATAGAGCGGAAGCGGCGCTTCCGCAGCTTATTTCCTGACCCGGCGGAAACCTCGTTTCCTTCCTCTCCCCGCTTCATACCCTGCCTTCAGTCATGGCATATTGCCGTTGCTTCGAAGATACACCTTTTTAATACTATGTAGTAATGTAGTTAGTGTGGTCGTCTTACCAAAAACCATCATCTTCGGGTTTGTCACCAAAAACTATCGTCCTGAGTACTGGTACGGCTTCCATGGGATTTTGTAAAGTACTTAGTCGAAAGTGTAACCGAATTTTACATTTCGCTAAAATTTATCGCGCATTTTCGCAAGCTTCATCGATCACCCCACCTGAGATCTTGGCTATATCCAGCACCTTTCACGTTTCATTGACGATTGTCCAACTCAGCGTTATAGGTAGCACCTTTTTCGAAGACTTGCACTTTCTTCCGAAGTGCATAACCTTGAGCTCTATTACTTGAATAACACCCAGTATATACCACTGCATCACCGTTTTGGGTATGGTAGCCAAAACGCTCGAAGCCCCTGGATATCTGGGTCAGAATGCCTTTTAAACTCCTTAAAAGTCCCATTTACTTTGAAGTTCTCCCATTTAACTTTGATCTACTTTTATCTATTTTCTTTAAGATGGATATGAAAACATGTGTCAACGAACACCATGGGATACATCATTATCGCAGCCGGAAACCAGCCGACTGAATACAGGTAATCGTAGTGTTTTGTACTTGGATGTTTTCGGAAATGAAAAATTCACCTTTGAATACTTATTCAATATTAAAACTATCTTACAAGCTGGAATTCAAGCCTAGTTTTCATTCTATAAGGTCTCTCTTTGATGTTTTTCTAATGCACTTTTCGTGGAGGTTTCAATTTGCATACAAACACGGATATTTGTCTTCTGAGATCAGATAGCATTCGGCGAAAGCCATCATCCTTCTCCTTCACCTCATATGGATGTCCGTCCGACTTCATGCGACTAATATTACATCATTTCTTTACATTTTTCTTCATCATGAGGTATCCTCGGTAGGTATGTAAGCGCAAAAAATTATCATCATGTATCGTACAATATCACTTATTATCATCATGTATCGAACGGTACCATGTTTCGTTGAATTCACCAAAAGCTGAAAAGATTTGCGAGTAACGTGGTCAGTCTGCTGCAACTGACCAGATAGACTCTTGAAAGTATCAAAAGCACACTAGTATTCCTTCGGTCATAGTACTGCTACTAGCAAACCGTTTAGCGATTGGATATCGAACCCCGCCTCAGACTTTTCAGGGCGATATATCCAAGTTGGACAAGCAGGTTCAACTGACACCCTTGGCATAGAATACAGAGCGATTCTTAAGGCTTAGTACGCATCCAAAAGCAGCTACAACTCGTAACCCTCGACGGATACGTGGCGCGCTAAGAAGGCTCGCTCCCGGAATCTCATTCTTTGTTTAATATTTCTCCGATATCCTATATAGGAGCTACGATCCCATAGACATGAAACCCTTGAAGCCGAGTTTGGATCTCTCTTTTATCGGCCTTCAATCGAATGCTCCCAGTTGTAAAGACTTCTTGAACCCATTGAACGCCATAAAATCAGTTTTCAAGAAATTACAGTAGGAACCTAGAGGTTTCCTTCCGAGTGTGCACACACATTTTTTGACTTCAAAATCCTTCAAAAGCTTATCTAAACAGGCTAAATCTGCCCACCGATCTCGTAGTATACCGACTGCTCAGGAAAGATTCCCGGAGCCCAAAGCATCGTTCAGCTACCAGAGCTACCAAGTTCGATTCTGGGTTACGATTTTCAAGTGTGAACTTGGACGCTGAGAAACCTCCAATTATTTCAAGCTTAAAACGAAACCCATTCAAAACCGAATACAATGAAGGAGTACATGGATCTAGAAATCAAGGGTCTGCCAAAAACCGGACTATGACCCAAACATTGAACAAGCATCGACTGGTACCGCTTCAGTGCCGGTGAATAGGCGAACTATAATAAAATGTGACTCCATCATGGAAGAATCATGTCCAAATATGCCCATATTCAGAGCAAATGCTTGCCGTTCCACCGTTGGTACTTAGTTGTTCGCAAAGCTTTTCCTTTCAGTTTTCTCAATTCTTTTCTGACTCTACTGCTTTATCCACCTATGGGACAGCGTTAAAACGAAAACAGTAACGAGTGATCTGACTTATTCATGTAAAAATGAATAAATGGTCGCAATAACATTTCTAAGGCTCCGTCACTCTAGAGGAGGTTCCGATTCTCACCCGAGTTGATGCTTGTGCTGAATTGTGCCCAAGTGAAGCAGCTGACCATTTTATTGGGAGGAAAAGAAGGCATTTCTATACTAAACGATACTGTGATGCTCACCGTCGAAAAACCCTCTCAACATGAGAGCTATCGCGCAGAAAATAGCCGATTCTCAACCAACCTTTAAAGGTCCAATAGGACGACCATTTTGACCATCCTGTTTACGTGTTTTACCAGTAAGATCTGCAGCAAACATCCTTTGCAATGGGTAAGTCGACTACCTTCATTACTCTGCCGCCACCGGTGGTGGTTCCAATTGTTTCCAATTGTGAGACTACGGGTGGGCTGCAAGCGTTGCATATGATTTGGTAGGGCTTTCACCGCCATCCGACTATTAGGCAGCGGCTTGAGGCGAACATAATGCTGCATTTACCTTCTTTGCTTGATAATTGCTCTCTCGCCAGTATGTCTGAGTAAGTGTTCACCCACAAGATTTTCATGGACCATGAACATTCTCCGATTGCAACAATTATGCTTGCAGGATGCCTACAGTATACGTCGCTGCTATCACGAATGCCGAATCAAGGTGAGCTGATTGATGGCAGCTTAGAGGAAACAAAAACAATCAACACCGGGTTGCATTCCAACTTTGTAACGGCCGGATTCCACAGGGAGATGGACAGAGGACAGGGGTCAGGTAGCATGGCTATCGAACGATGATCATATATCGACCCTATACCANCTCATTCAAGCCTTCACAAAGAAATAAAACTATTTGGAACTGAATAGAAAGAGGTGTGAAAAGAGATTTGAACCGTCGTTGAACCCAAGTGAACCACCTTTTTATGTTAACTTACTAGGATCGTTATGGTAGAAAAAAGGAGACCGAATTTCCTAACCACTAAAGTAGTTAGGAAATATAATTAATATAGTTAAGTACACTACAAGAACAAAGAACTAGAATAAGAGAAAAAATGGAAAACAAAGTAATGGAAGAAAGAAATGAGAGCAATGTGAAAAAAATGATCAGATTTGAACAGCTAATTATAAGAAGTGGGATCGTCATAAGTACGCAGCGAATTAATTACGATACTCAGTTGAATCGGAGCACAGATTGGGTGATATGTAAAATGCAAATATGAGCAGCATGTATATTTGGATAAGAGTGTATTATATGGCATGGTACTGTGTGATATGACATGGTAGGACATGGTAGTATGTTATTCTATGGTGTGCATATTATGGTATGGTAAGGTATGGCATGGTAAGGAACGGTAATAGGGTAAGGTATGTATGGCATTGTGTTGTACAGTATTATATGGTACAGTATTTCATGGTATGGTGTGGTATGGATGATAAGGTATGGTAAGGTATTGTATACGTGCATATTATATTCAATTGTATACATGTGAGTATATAGTTACCTTCCCCTTCTGATTAGGTTGTTTCTGTCCAAAAAGGGAAGGTTGTCTTCGGTTCAATGATATGTGATGTTACCTGATAGTAAACATAGATTTCATCGATGTATTCTCACCTTTTCCGTTGCAGTTGCACTATTTTATGAACTTATGAAGAACCATAAGCAGATGCGTATCGTCAAAAAGAGGACGAGGTTCTACCGTAGTTCTTGAATTCCTCGTTTTTTTGGCCGCGCGCGTATAAGGGTTACAAGCTACTAAAAGTAATATGACTGCTGATCGAAGGGACCAACCGGGCCTATTCGCACGCGTCCATTAGAGTAACTTCGACTACTTCATGTAAGTGGTGACTTATCTCTGCTTCAGAACATCTCGGTGTAAAACGTATTACTCGTGTGATGTGAAACACAACCAATCTCCGTAAATTGCTATGTGTTATGTGCCCTTAGGTTTGGGTACTGTATCACTAAATATTGAAGTGTCGCGCTAACGTCTGTGGAAATGAGCGAGTCAATAAACATGAATCGTTTCGACAGCCTCCCTCGCGAATGTTCCGCCCGTGGATATCCTTAGATGTATAATTCTAATTTTTTTCTTCACTGCTTCCACCTATAGGTAATGAAACAAACCAGGTTTGAGAATTAGGGATGACAAAAAAGGAAAGTAAACACTTTTTCAAGTGAGCAGTTCTTCAAACAGATTTTTTGAAGGAAGTGGTCAGATTCAATTGTGGCAATTTCTGCTTGAACTGTTGGCGGATGCAGCTTCAAACGCCCATTGCATCGCTTGGGAAGGAGCCAGTGGAGAATTCAAGCTGGTTGATCCGGACGAAGTTGCCCGTAAATGGGGTGAACGAAAAAGGTCCGATTGATTATCGTTAAACAAGTACTCTTACTGTAATTACTGTTGATTTTTTAGCAAACCAAATATGAACTATGATAAACTCAGCCGAGCATTACGGTATTACTACGACAAAAATATTATGACAAAGGTTAGTTCAACCCTCGTCGTCACTATCCATTTTGTCCTGAGACAGTGAGGATATTGTTTTAACGTGACGATTTTGTTTACTGTTGTTTTCCGTCGCAGCATGCAATGCAAAATCCCACAAGCATGGCTAGTAGTGAGCAAAACACTTTGTCGCACAATGAGCTCGAGCCTGTAATTGTGAGTTCCGGGCATCGTTATCATGAGGGTGCTGAATTGGGACTAGGCTCTTTCTCGCAGATCCTTTAGAATGGTAATGCACTGGACATCTATGAACCACATTTAGGTTGAGCCATAACCTCAACCATCGACTAAAATTGTTAGGTTTCCTGGCTGGCTCCTCAAATGCAGTGGGCAAAGGTTTACTAGCCAATGTTTCCTGTTTTCCCTCCTATGCAGCTTCGGCCCTGTTTCTGAATGCTCGTCGTTATCATCATCATGTGCTCAAGAAAACGATACTGAGAAAGCATTTGACCCAGGAATTTTTCAGGTGTGATATCAGCGGTTGGATTGTTGTTGCTCAATTTATTCGGATCACAGAATAGGGTCCTGATAACAGTGATAGTTCATGGCCATGGTTCTGCTCATTGCCAGCCCCTAGTTCAAATACATTTAGAAAATTTAGTACAGCATTCAAGGTGGTTGTTTCCCTAATAGTTAAGGGCACAGTTCACGAAAAAAATGGTTTCTGAGATTTTCCTATAGTATGACTTCGAGGCTCCCCCTATACCATACATGTTATTATGAGAGCAAAAAAGGGTCCGGGATAGGGTGCAATAAGGAACCACAGGTTGCCTCGTGTGAATGCCACATCTCTGGTGGACGAGTTTCAACGGCTTTGTAGAAGCTGCACCATTCACAAGGGAACCAATGTAGGGAGTTCAAGCAACTTGTCATGACCCGTAGCGAAAGTGAAAGGCAATTCTGGACAGTTATGGTTTTAAGTAGTCAGCTCTTTGCACGATGGCAGCAAGTTAAATCTCGTCCGAAAACCCCTTAGATGTTATTACTGTCGCGGTGATCTCGTACAACATACACTTCCACTACTTTTGAAGAGCTCGAAGTAGACGGATTTCCTCGCTTTCTTCGCCACTGATATACTCCTCTACATCAACACTTCCGTACTTCAACCTAAAAAGGGTATCTCAAAATAATCGTGAACTGTGCCTTCAAGCGGTTCCTCGATAAAGGTGCCTACTTTTGCTTGTCAATGTAGAATCAGAAGCTTCCCTGATAGGGCCTTATCACGACATTCCATCAGTTGTATAAGTAAGACAGACACCTTTTCCAAAAAAAAAGTCGGAGACATAAGTATGTACGTGGAAATAAACGACTATTTTGTGTCGGTCCCCTAATGATTTTCTCTCATCGCATGTATATCTAGTTGTTGAACTGATGGTGAGTGGGCGAATGTCACCCATTTTCTTGAATGGGTGTGGCTGCTAACTCGTACACACTTATATGAACCACTTTTCCACACTTCAATACACCCTTTCAAAAATGACTCATACACAAGTAATTGAACAGTTCTAACAACTGAATCAGGGAATTGTACAATACTGGTCCATTTCAGGTACACGGTAAGAGGTATGCCTACAAGTTCGATTTTCAAGGACTAGCACAGGCATGTCAGAATTCCATGAACAGTGGAAATGACATCTCAAGCGCTGTTCAATCACTGAACCCCTATCAAAATAGTAAGAAAACTTACTCTATAGACATTACAAGCTAGATAGGTTATATACATGCAGAAGATCAGTTTTTTCTCAGTAATAAAATGAATAATTTTTGTAAGTATAAGAAACCGCATCGTTTAGTATCAAAGCTAACGCCTTCACAAGTGCCCTATCAGTTATTGGGAGGTTCAGACAGGTTAGCACAAGCAGTGAGTTTTCTTTCATTTTTTCATATCTCCATTCCCCTTATCACCTGTAAATAACAAGTAAATAACTAATTGGTAAGTGGCTTGTTTGGCTTCATGTTAGTAAGTACATACATATGTATTTCAGTAAGAAGTATGAACCTCGCTGACTAAGGGGTACATATCGTTCGCTACCTGCTATCACCCATAAACTTTATTAAATCGGAAATGGAGCGTATGAATTTAGTTTCAAGCAGTAAGCACTGGATTGCGCCATAGATTTTGTTTATAGACAAAATTGTGGGGGTCTTTCAATCCGTTCCTTCGCTCATGCAGAGCAAAGAACACCCATTGCGAAGCCAACTTTTTTTATCTTTTTACAGAATATACAGGAGAATTAGGTGATTTTGGAGAGTGGAAAGACTATTTGATCGCTCAGTTCCATTATGGTTCTCGATCATGCTGTGGTGAATCCGTTTTCGTGACCCCCCAGGGCTTACTCCTAAGGTCATTGACAATATTTCGAATTTGATTTCCCNNCCCCCCCCCCCCCCCCCTCCCCCGTTCTGGCAATCGCCCTGCTAAAAAATGTACCTCACCGGAAGGCTGATGAATAAGTGCTTCAAGAAAGTCTCAAAATCCATTGACCAAACTTTCGATGTGAAACGGTACGAATGCAACCGCTTTTTCTGTCGAGTATCGCCACATTAGTTACAGTTACTCAATTGTACTGTAGAAATGAGCAAGTTACTGTATCTTTATCCCTTATCTTCAATCATATCAGTATATTTTATTTAAAAGCCACTAACAACTGACTACAAGCAGCGATTTTCGGGTGATTGGAGCAAATTGTAGCGATAGTTCGTTGAAATACTTCCCACCCCTGAAAACTGGATTGCGATAGGTTTCAAACATCACCTAGGAGGCAAACGAGAGAACGAAATAAACTTCCATGTCGAGTTGCAATATTTGTGACATTTGTGCAAATAATACGTCATTGCTACAGTACCTTGTGAAAACCCTTCAAATGTATCTGTAACTATTTCCTACAGTCACAGTTCCCGCTATTCATATACTGGATTAGACAAAAAACTGCAGAACTGAGACCCAACAATCCGAAAATCATGGTTGTGGTATCAAGGTAGAGAGTCATTCGTGCATAGATCCACTCTTTTACCAAATCTATTACTTTGTCTTACCGTAGATCCCATTTGTAACAGCTGATTTCAGATCATCCAGGGTATCTGAAAAGTAGGGTATTCCAGGGGAACCACAGTAACTAAAATATCAGAGAGTAATCTCTCGAAAGTGCAATTTTCTCTTCTGAAGAATATCCTCGTCGTCCCTTTTGACCTTGATATCCGAAAAATCTTTGAAACAGAGATTTTATTGAACTACTGAATTCCTGCACAATATCCCTTGTGTTTGATAGCGCTCTTTGCTGCTCTTGACATCTGAGCCTGAAAACTGTGGATGAAGTTTCTACCCCAAGATTCGCTCGAAATTTTCGGGTAGGCTGGATAGGTTTAAAACGAGCCAAGACGTAGGAAGCACGTTTGTGCTGAGCAGGGGCTTACTGTCACAATGGAATCTGCCAGATTACAAGTTTGTAATTTAAGTTTGGAAAGAACTGAAATCGCACGAAGGCGTGGAGCTGTTGTCAGATAAGGAATCTTCTCCAAACTATAAAGCTCAAAGGTCTTGACAGAGGATATCGGAGATCAAGCATGCTGGTGTTCAGAAAAACGGAATTCCTCGTCTTCATTACAGTTACTGACTAGGCTACGGGAAACCTCGATAGACGACTTTAGTCATTCCTCAGACCTTGTTTGCAACTACAGCAACTTTATTCTGTACGGTAATTTTGCTTTACCATTGAACAAGCACCGTATGAGATATTTTTTTGTGGAGCTCTTTTTTCACAACTTTCTTTTAATTTATTTGAGAACTTCATAAATAATATTGAGAAAAAGATGCTCCGTACACCCCTTTCTGCTCTTTTCTTCATGTGTCGGACATGAAATTGCTGAAAACTGCAAAGATTTCTCTACATAAAAGAGTTGTATTAATGAAGAAGAGTTAGAGGTACACAAACAATGATACTTGATTCACTGGCTAATCACTTTCCTTGCGAGACTCGTACTGTAATAACTGGTACCCGTGAAGATATCTCGAAGTTCAACCAAAAATTATGGTTTTGGGAGGGTGAGGACGTCACTGGTTACACATGGTTCTGATCAGTGTTAATTTTCCAATTTCTCTCTCGGGTCCAAAGTATCTCTTATCAAGTATCAAGTCCGGTAGACCAATATATATTCAATACCTTTTATGCTCTTCCTAACGGGCATAACTCATGTCCGCTAAGCAGTAATCATGTAAAGAGTATGACTGCGAACTAATATGGTAACGAAACAGCCGAAACTCGTGCAGTGTACTCTGCCACCCTCACAACCAGTTTTGCCGAATCATTCGGTAACAGTGGTTGTTATGGTAGGATATGGCAGTTGGGAGTTACTAAAAAATGAAAGCCCCGAACATCTTAATGACCAAGGTCTAGCTAGTGTTGAACTGGCAGATACGGTTAAGCTGCTCTACGTCCAGCTTTGCTGAAGCCTTTTATTAGGTCAGCGCCTCTTGTCCCACCTGCTTACCGACGATTTTTTTTTCAAGTAGCAAGTTTCCAAGGGGAGATTATACAGAACATGCTTTCATGTTGACTCACTGACACTTTCGCTACAGGCTTACCACCACCAATAGCTGTGTTTGCGTTTGTCAAGCGTAAAGCTTGTTTTTTTTTTCACAAGAAAGAAGGAATACTTACAAAAATATCGTCCCACTGATACTGTTCTTTACTGTTCGCGTTTAACTGCACCTTCCAAATCGTCATTGATATACTTCTCGTTTACTAGAAGTTTCGACAAGAATATATTGAGCTGCCCTTATTTTGAGAAGTTTCCAGCCTATGGTTGAAGCACAGAGAGAGAAATCGTATGACAGGGGTTGTACCCGAGACGAATACGTTCAAATTTTACTCCTACTGGAAGAACGGATATGCCTGGAAACTGCTGACGACTGGCCCTTACCCTACCTCAACTGATGAAGGAAAACACTGTAAACCAAGGATAGTGCACAGAAAGTCTTGACTTACTGCTTTAATACTAGTTGTACTCAGCAGAAACAGGCTAACCAGTTCATTCCATGGCGATTCTAGTAATCACGATAAGTGGATCATTGAAAGTGGGCAAAAGTTCCATAGGCATTCACTTACTCGAACTTACTCGAAAGGAAAAAGGGGGCCAGAACTGCGAGTTAAATATCATTAGTTAGCAACTAATTCAACACGGTTTTGGTAGCCTCCGATAGCACTGATCACCCATTGACTACCAAAGTAATCATAACCTTTCTCCACCTTTCCTAAAATTTCCAGGTGTCTATGCCGTGCCAGCGTGGGGGGGGGTTTAGTCTTCCCTAATAGGGGCTTATGAATTTGTGTTTGCCCGAACGATTAAGTCATTCTGGGACGACCAAATTCCAGGACAAGCTCGTAGAAATACAATGATGACAATTGTAGTCTGCAGAAGCCTTTCAAAAGCTTTTTACCAAGACTTATCATTTTGTATTACGACCGTTCTTTGAGTTACTTTTATTGGTTCCGATGGTTACCAGCTAATCACCTCATATTACTCACTACTGATATGGGATGGCGTCAACCTGGAAAAAAGTCACACAGTTCTAAGTTTTCTGGTGTCATTTTTGATTTCCAAAATACGCTAGTTACCCTTTCAATCACTCCACGAAAAATTGATCTTTAAATAGCATGGCTCTATCTGAACAATTTTGAGAAGAGAACTCTCCCTACTAGGGTAGAACGTTCAGAAAAAGATGGAAAAATTGGATATAGTAATTTTAATATTACAATTTCAGGTTCCCGTCTGCAGTACATACTGGCCAGCTCAACCTCAGGCCTACATTTATCCCACAGTGTCATATTATAATGCAAAACCATCATTGTAAAGCTCTATAACGAAGAATAAATGCGTCTGCTCTTTTTTTGACAATTATTTTACTAGTAGTCGTTTCCAAAACAGTTTTGTTTCGAACATATTAGCATGCTTTGAAAGGGAATACAACAACAACTACAGCAATACCCTTTCAATGTCTTCATATGCCCGTTCGAGGTGGTGGCATGATTGATGACAAAATGTTTTCCCAAGGCTTTCAGGGCTTTTCTGTCCCTCCTCGTGAATTGTGAAGTCAGAAAACGTTCTTTGTGCAGAACATATTGATTTTGCGATTTATTTGGAGGAGGAAAGGACGAGGGAGGAAGTCTTAGAAGTCGCACATATTCTCCGCTCTCTGTCGTGAGGCCTGAGCGCAAATTGATGCGCATTCCGGTTTCAATCTTGGACGACACAACATAAATGGCGTGAAAGTGGGGGCGATTTCTAGAACTCTCCTCTATTCTCAGACTTTGGATGAAGAAACACGTTTTCAGTTGTAACTGAAAAGAACCAATTATGTCAGACAGACAGCGATCGATACGGGTGTCTTTGGGTGTCCCAATTGACGAACTCTCCAATTTGTCTGTGCCCCTCTAACTGACTGAATCACTAAGAAGGCGATTCAATTTCTCTGGCTGTATCAATGTCCTCTGCCAATATTCATGTTTACTTGTTTTTTTCTCCGTGGGACTATGCCCACATGGGCTAAGTTCAAGCCTTCCCCAGCCACATGTGTTTGTACCGGGAGGACCCCTTATCATGGTGATGAGATTTACGACTTTGTCGCTGATTGGAACCGAACACCCCCCAGTTGTTAGACGCCGCCAATGTGATGACGGCTTGGGAGATCTTCTGGGTCCCGACCTCCAAAAGGGCAGAGACCTTCAGAAGCACTGAAGGCGCGGGGGTTTTCTGAAGGCACTGATTGAGTATGTATGTGTGTGTATGAGTGTGTGTGTGTGTCTGTGTGTGGATGAGTAAGCGACCCTGCCCCCCGCCCCAGTCGGTCGCACCGTGCGCGTCTCCTACCCCCTCTACCACCGCCATCACCAACTCGCTCTCGGGTCGCGCTCATCATCACACATACCATCACGACACGACCGCACATGGGCACCTGCTGCTCACGCAATTCACGTAAACCGCAGGAGGTATGAATTGCCGTTTACGAGTTACTTATCGAGTACAAGTTACTTCGCTCGACCACCACCACCACCACCACCGTACGTTAACCCCATTTTATCCGAATCACATTCTCTATTGATTAGCCCAGAAATCTATGTCGGTTCTTGTTAATGTAAACTCAAAGGGTCTTGTTACTTTCTTATCGCCATGTGTCGCCTGAATGTGCAATGTTTACTGAGTCGCGTTCGTTGTGAGCAAATAACTGTAGTTGTACGAAATCGGGCATATTGCTGTTGATATGAGCTGTGGTCGAGTGATAAGCAAACTGCGAGACAGGTTCATCGTACACAAGTGGTAATAGAAACGCCCTTTTCACTAACCACACCCTTTGTTTTACTTCCAGTTGGCTTGGCACCTTCGCATTCACTGGAGTACGGGCTTGTTAATCCTATTTTCTCGTCGTAGTGCCAACTCACTGGCGCTAAGGTAGTATAGGAGGTAAACCTCAGCATTAGGGACTTCTGGTAGTTGCAGAAGGTTAAAACTGCTTCACTGGTCCTCCTGAATATTGGCCCTGGGATGATCTCGAATTGGGGTAGCGACTGGCTGATGCAACTCTAGACTGTTCAGTTGATAACTAGTAACATGTTCCATGTGGTAGAATTCCGTGGATTCCGATCCAGAAAAACATCCTTCTAAGGTCATCCGTGACGTGTGCGCTATGTGGTCAGAATTTACTAGTATGTCTACAAAAGTAATGGCAACTTTGCAAAATGCTGGTTATTAACCTTTTCTGGTAATTGCTGTATTTCGTTTGTTCATTCTCAGTGTTAGCCGAGAACAAGTTGTTGTTGACTTGTCGAAGCGCCGATGCCGGCTAGGTGGCGACGTCGAGGTCATTTGATACAGGTTGATTGTGAAGTGAACACGAAATTGTGTGGAGTACGGTGTGGGTGGTAGAAGGAGATGAATGGATAGTATTCCGATTTTTCCATGTTGATGTATTGACTCGTAAATGAAATTGACAACAAGCATCACACATCGATTCGTATTGTTCCGTTGTCGCGCCAACTCAAAACTAGCTCCCCGATTGCATCCTCGGGCGTTTTTTTCCCCGGTACCCTTTTCAATTCCATCGTGCATTATCGATAAGACCTGTACTGGAAATTTGTTAGAACGTAGTTTCTATTAATACATGGCCGAAAGATTTCGTAAATGACGAAGATTTTTCTTGATATGAAGAAGATTTATCGGACAATTAACGGCCGATTATCATCCTTCGAGTTATCAGCCCCGTTTTCTCGTCCGTCCGTCTCTTGCTAGTCGTTAGAATCTTGACAGCCAGAATCGCAGTCAGCAGCAAATTCCAACTGCGGTTTGCCAATCGATGCTTCTTTTTGAGGGGGAAAAAACGGAACACCCTTGGGAAAATTGCGACAAGGACAATCGGTAAAATGTTTACTTTGAAATACGAGAAAGCACCGGAGCCCTTTTAGTTGGTTAACTTGTATGCCAAGGATGCCCAGAGCCGTCTTGTTGTCAGAACGGATCAGCACACGGGCTCAGAAGGTCATCTCTTTACTTTTTTCCTTCTGATAATTGATAACTTACTAATTTTATCGAAAGACTCTTCAGTAACCCAGTTAATTGTCTATCCGGTGGCGTAGGTTGACTTTTTTCGACTTCATCTGGTTACATTTTGGCGCCGATTTAGCTTTTCGCTACATTTTAATGAGATTACATTTTCATGGAAATTAATTTGAAAGTTTTTCTCATCAATGCACTTGTCCTTTCACAAGCTTTATTCATGATTCTAGTCAATACTACAAGTATAAAAGTAAGTAAGGTACAGTATACTACAAACAGGCCTTCAATGTGTGCTGCTACTTGAATGTGACGAACTACTTTTATTTTAATAAGTAGGTATGCAAAACCAGTCAACATGATAGGTAATTGCCAGCCACAAAGTTCACTTTTAAATGGGAGCTCATTTTTGATTTCTTTTTCGGGTACGCCTCCTAGCCTCTGAACAAAAACCTGACTCGTCTCCTGGAAACCATAACAGCATTACTTCGAAAGAATGTACTGCAGTTGGACGAGTTCCTCTCACTTCACATAGTTTCTATACATCTAGTTACTCATCTTATGTATCATCGATGATCATTCGTGATCGAGTGAATCAGGGGAATGTCATTGATGCCATCCCTCCAGGGTATCTTGACGTACCTCGGAACGGTTCCGGGAATTCAGAGCAGCATTTTTGCAACATTCACGTGGGAGGAAGTAGCTGTCACAAAAGCTACCCTGCTTTCTGGTCTTCTGGAGGCATTTGATTGCCTTTTTACCCAAACGACTACGTGTGGCTCCAATGGGTGCTCCCTGACATCGTGTCAGACGTGTCAGGCTGTCCAACCCTGCCAGAATAGAAAGTTTGCTTACCCTTGGAACGAGTGGGTGGTAAAGGCGATTCAAAGTGCCAACTTCAGCTTCAGCCCTTAGCAGCTATAGCAGCCCTCCTCCTTCTACTTCGTTGCCTTACATTCGTCCACAGCGTATGCTGCCGAAGTTCTGAGAAGGCCTCCGAAGAATGTGTTATCCTCAAGAAATACATAGTTGTAATTAATATTTAACTGATATACATGTAGATAGGTGATGATAATATGTGATAATAATCTATAGCGATGTTAAAGGGATATGAATGTAATGTAAGTGCAACAATAGGTGGATAGATGGGTGGCCTATTTGTCAGGCCTGTCATATTTCATGCTCAATCAGACCCTCCAACGTTTCATAATTGTCTATTCGCAGCAGCCTAAAAGTGCAAAAACTAGGGCGCCAAAGGCCGGTTTCAGCCAAACACTTTGCTAGGGGTGACTGGCTCAAAGATTGCAAGGTCCCCCTGCACCCCCCCCCCC